ATATATATATATATATATATACATACATATATATTTTTTAATGAAAATAAAATAATTATTTCAGAACGTGATAGATAATAATTGTGAATATTTAGAGAAATTGGTTTATTTTCTCTTTTTATTTTCTTAAATAATCTTTTATTAAAATTTAAGTTTGCATTTGGTTTTCCTATATTTTTCTAAGATTAAATATTATACGTTCTGTGTGGAAGATAAAAAATATCCTGACATTTTTTTAATATGCATGTGCCACATGCAAAAATAAAAGCGTAGGAATTTTAAAATTAGTACAATCTAATTAATTTATTATATAAAAAGTAATGCTGTGACGAATTATGTTAAAACAATTATTAATTATATTATTTTTTTTTAATGTACTAAGTTTACGGACTAACCTTTTGTAAGCTATTTAATCATATTGATAATATATATTGGAATATTTAATAAATTATTTTTATTTGTATATGACATTTATTGGTTACATGCCAAAATTTCACATTTTTTAAATATGTTTAACAACGTAGGAATTTAAATCAATATTTAATAAAAAGTAAAATTATCTTTGAATATTTAAATTAATTTATACTTTTACGATATTAAATATATTTAAAAAAGCAGATATAAAATTTGAAATAAAAATTATTAAATATTTTTATTTGAATTTTATATTTAATTATGGCATAAAAATACTTTATGTAAAATTGAATTGAAATGTTGATGTATAATAGAAGTAGAAACCGATACTTGATAAAAGTGATTTATTCATAAAGAGGCTTACAAGTTTTATACTTATAATATAAATTTTTGATGACAACAATGAACTTTAAATTATTTGATTAGTTGTACGAAACTAAAAATATATTATTAGATGGATATTTATTCACGAATTAGGAAAATTGACATGAGTTTACATGAGAAAATAATGAAATGATTAATGAAACTGTGTCATTGGCACAGTATACGGTTAAGATTAGCACATCGATCGTTCGCATATTCCAATCGCAAATCTCGTGTAGGTACTATTTCTACAAAATGATCGCGCAGTACGATGTTGCATTCGGTGTTTATCAAGATATGGGCATACAAGTGGGCTATCTTTTTCGTGGACACGGACGAATGCTGATGCAGCGGCGAGATCTTTGGAATGTACCCGGTGACTCAATGTCGGAGGATCGTGGTCGACTAGCCGGTCAGTTGCTGTTGTTTTATTCAAGAAGTTGAATATTGAAACGAGAGTCAATACTCGCCATCCGTTTCCACGAAAGAAAATGGATGCGTTTATATCGTTGCGCTTATACGAATGCGGCCGGAAGCTGCATCTCTATACGAAAACATGTTCGTCTCGTATCGAATTATCTATAGCTTTCGACAATCGTTTCGTAAGTGGCGAATTATCTGGCTGTATAATTGATCGTCCTAGTGATTAGCGTGTTGTTAACCGCGTTTGTACTGACAATGAGCGTCGAATCGCGTTATCGTTTCAAGCCGTATGGTTGATTATCGTTGAATATTTCCGATACATGAAAATTAAGTCCGTCATTGATACGAAAAGAAGAAAGTGAAATAGCTCTTTTTAAAGTATAATAGGCTTTCTACAATAAGACATTATCTAAACTTTAAGTCATAAGAAATTAACTAATCATGGCCGATTATTCTTCTCACATTCAATTGGTTGATTTTTTATGGCTTATGACTTAAAGATTATGTAATGACTTATTGCAGAAAGTTTTCTAATATTTAAAAAATTAGTTAGATACATATTTAAAAATAATTTTGTTAAGTTATTGGAATAATTATGTATGAATTTTAAACATGATGAGCAATGCTGCAAAACGTTTTGACACTAATTAGTTTGAGCACTCTAGATAATTATTTTTATAGTCCAACAAAATTAGTTTTAGATTTATATTTATAAATATATATATATATATATATATATTGGGTCATCTAAAAAGTATCCGCGGTTTTTTGTCACTAGATGGTGTTGACCATCAACACATCACACATATATATCAGCACACACACACACACACACACACACACACACACACACACACATATATATATATATAGCAAAATTTTTAGATGTTTCAGCAAATCCATTCTTTCCGTGCAAACAGTTAATAAAAAAATAATACTATCAATTTTATATTTTTCTTATACAATGGTACTATGATATCTACAGATTACATTGTTCTTTTTATAATGATTATATAATAACACTAGGTATAAAATTAGGTATGACATTTAGTATTTATTACTGATGTTTTCTAGTCTAACATGTTTTAATCAATAGTGTTTTTGTAATTTGGGTTACCGAAAGGCTTTCTCAAATTATTCAAGACTTATTCGATTTCTAGTAATAAAAGGTCAGACACTACATCGAACGTAATCTTAGCTTATACATTCACTTGGTTCTAGACGATACTTTGACTACTTAACATGATTGATCGTTGAATTTGTTTTTAAAGACGATAAATCGAAGCGAAGCACTTACGCATTTGATTGATGGATTTCTGGAAAGAACGATAAAAGATGTAAAATTAAATTTTCCTCGGTAAAATTTTATGAAGCAAATAATTAATATTAAACATAAATCGCAAACCGAATAATGCAAACATATTAAATATAATTGTATCAAAATTTTTCCATACATTGTAATAGAGTCGGTAATTTCTTAGTCACTTTCTGAGTCACGTTTGCTTAGTTAAATTACCGATCAAGTGTACAATTGGTGAAATGTTCATTCTCGTTGACGAGGGTTTCCTAATTCCTACGACATCCTGCATTATCCGTCCTGTATTAATGGCGACAATAAGAGGACGTACCGGCTGACAACATCATTAAAGGCTCGGTGACAACCGAGGAATTAGGGTGGCTATAGTATTTAGCGAAACGTCACAGTAGGGTCGTAAGTTTAAACCTTGCTCAAGCGAGCGTGCGTTAGTATTATTGTCTAAGACTCGCGAACGTAGAACGTGAGCGGTTTGCATTGTTTATAGTAAACTCTTTATATTACTCGTATTATTTTTGCGATTAATTAATTAATTAATCATAAAAATTAGGAAATGAATTCTTAATAAGAATTTTAACTTTTTCAACCTTAACAATTTAATAGAATTATTCTAATCGAGAACTTTTTTAATACAATATATCTGTGAAGCCATGTTCAAACCAAATAAACGAGCGCGAATAAATACGAATGAATAGCTTACTTTAACATGCTTATAGCAGTATTGTTCACGTTTACTGAAGCAAGTTGTTCATTCGTGTTTGTTCACGTTCGTTTGCTTGATCCGGCTTAAGGTGCTTTGCGCACACAGATATATACAAATATATATGCACTTTGTGTTGACTATATATACGTTAAAATCGAGGTAGATTTTCAGAAGAGAATATCTGCCGGTATTGAAGATATTCAGATAGCTGTGACACAACACGGTTTAGGAAGAGTGCTTTAAAAGATACTTACGGGAACTGTATCACATATGTCAACATCGGATCGAGAAATTCACCCCATTGGGGGATACTCCGATAGATGGGGGAGATAGATGAGAGCAATTCTGTTTTATCGTTCAGACACTGAAAAAAATTTTTCTGATGCGATCTAGAGTATGACGAATCATAATAGAAGCAACTCTCTGTTGAGGTCGCGGTTTCCGTCCACCTTTCTCACCTGTCAGCGCATTATCTCGCTGCGTTTGCCACACATCGCGTATGTACGTATTACAGCTATGTGCGTCTCTCCTGCGTGTACATATCCCTGCCACTCGGGAGCTATTGCGAAACGTTCCGCGTCTGAACACGGTAATGTAAGTTTGAGCATGGGCGCGTGGCTATAGGATGTTGCAAACATGTCCATGGATATACCCTCGCTTCTCACCGTCAAGTTCGTAAACCGGGGACGAACAGGGATACCAATGGCGAACGAAGTTACGATAGACATGCCGAATAGATAGGCATTGCGCACGCAAGACTATCTTCCGATGTTCGCGGGATGTGCCAGTTCGACGAAATAATAATAATAATGCATGATGCTCCGTTGGAGAGTGCTAAAGAAATTATGTACATTATAGATGACTTTTGTCTGTTCTTAACAGTTCTTAACAATTGCGCATACGTAAGGAACATATGTTCGAGGCGATTTTCATGACTTTTTCGTGGATAAAATATACATGTAGTTGAAGCGAAGTGCTCGAGGAGATAAAAAAGAAAGACTACTAATCCGTTGTATAGAGATCCTTTGACTTTGTCGTATCCACGATACACGATAAAACGTACGAGGGCGATTTCGATACTAGCTAGACCTTTAAGTTCGTTAACGTTCAACCAACGCGACTACGTAGGACTACACTTTTGCCCGGTGTATTTTCGAGAGGCAATTTCCTTGCGATTGGTTCAGAATGGTTCTATTACACAAGGTTATCGATGCGGCTGTATAACCCGTGCGATGGAATACTGCTACTGCGCGAAATTCGATCTACAATTTGCACTCTGCTGTCGTACACTTCTATATAGTCTGTATAATTAGCTAAGACACAGCACGCGTATAAAGATGATCCGCAAATAGACCTGTTGTTTGCGCTGTTAATTAATCGCCAATCTTACATTCCGACCCTCAGCA